TGTGACTTTCTTTGTTTTGAAGTCTATTTTGTCTGATACAAGTACTGCAACTCCAACTTTTTTCTCCCTATTAGTTGCATAAAATATTTTTTTCCATCCTTTTACTTTCAGTCTCTTTATGTCTTTGGGTTTGAAGTGAGTCTCTTGTAGGCAGCATATAGATGGGTCTTGTTTCTTGGTCCATTTCTTTTCCTCCCGCTGGCGAGCTGGGGTAGCGGGAAGGACTTGGGTCCTGCCAGATTAGGGCTTTGGTACATCACCCTGTTTCATGAGTTCTGCTCTGTTTGTGAGGTCTGTATTCAGTCTGGTTTGGCCTTCTTTCCTGTTGCTATTTTAGGGTTGGTTGTATTAATTAACTGTATTTTCGTACTATTTGTGGTTTTGGGAGGAGCTCTCTGTCTCACCTCTCACACTGCCATCTTGAATCTCCTGATTGTTAACTATTTGTTGATGTATAATATGTATACAGTACATTCTTCCCTTCTGGTGTATAGTTCTGTGAATTTTGACAAGTGTACACATTCATGTAACAAATACCACAGTCAAGAGAGGAACAGTTAGTTCTGTCACCTAAAAACTGCCCCGTTGCTCCTTCATAATCAGTCCCTCCCACTCCGAGCAACCACTGATTTCTTTCACGTCCCCCTTGTTAGAACTGTTTTAAGGATTGCTAGGGAGCTCACAAAATAGGGTTGATGATCAAGAGGGGTGAATGCCTAGCCCCCAGCCTTTGTCCTCACTTGTCTAGACAAGTTTCACTTCACCATTTTGTTTTATATATTGGTATTTTACTTAATGTTTACCTAATATTTAGGTTGTGGTGGAGAAATTTTATAGCTATGTATTTGAAAACTAGTATTCTGCAGTGTTTCTGGCACAACTCTGAGGCACCATTATCTCCGACTTGGACTGTTGCAATAGCCTCTGAGTAGTCTTCTTTTCCCCTCCTTTGACCTTTGCCCCCCTGAAGTCTTTTCTCAACATAGCAGTCAGCATAGTCCTTTTATAACATAGATTAGATTACATCATTCTCCTTCTGAAAACCTTATAATGGCTTCCCCTTTAGTGAGAATAAAGGCAAGTTCTGAAAAGTGATCTAGAAGGCCCTGCATTCTCTGGGCCACCTTTTAATCTGCCACTGTCACCATCACGTCTCTCTCTGTGCCCCCATCTGAGCCAGTTAGTCACGCCAGCCTTTCTGAGCCTCAGCTGTGCCAGCCACATATGTGCTCATTTTAGGGCCTTTGCCTTACCTCGTATTTCATTTTGTAATTGAGGTAAAACTCACCAAACATAAAACTATCTTAAATGTCAAAGTATACAATTCAGTGGTATTTAGCACATTCACAGCATGCATTCATCATCTCTATCAAGTTCTAAAACATTTCATCACTCTCAAATGGGACCATGTATATATTAAACAATCTCCCCCCACCATCATCCCCCTTCTTCCTGTACATGCCCTCCTCCCCACTCCAGCAACCACTAATTTGCTTTGCCTTTTTGTATCTACCTATTCTGGGTATTTCACATAGGTGGAATCATATAATGTATGATTATACATGTAGTGTTTCTACATCCATGTAGTGTTTCCATGGTTCATCCATGCTGTAGCATGCATTAGTACTTCATTCCTTTTTATGGCCAAATAATTTTCCATTGTGGATATATTATATTTGGTTTATCCATTTATTTATTCATGAATATTTGGGTTATTTCCATCCTTTGGCTACTGTGAAAATGCTGTGATGAGCATTTGTGCATAGTATTTGTTTGAATATATGTTTTCCATTCTTTTGCATTATGTACGGAAGAGTGGAATTGCTAGGCTCTATGGTAACTCCATGTTGACCTTTGTGAGGAACCAGCAAACTGTTTTCAACAGCGGCTGAAACATTTTACATTCCCATCAGCACATACCTTGGTTTTTACATCTTCATCTCCTTCAAGTCTTTGCTCAGGCTTCACCTTCTCAGTGAGATTTACCCGATCATACTGACCTGCTCCCGTCCCCATCTTACTTCGTGATCCTTCTCCCCTTTACCCTACTTGTGCTTTTCCCTAATGTGGACACCTTTCTAGGCACATGGGTAGTGTTTAATTATACCTACTGCCTCTTACACATAGAAAACTCGTATTCTCATGACTCATAGAATCTGCTCATCTCAACAGCCCATTAGGTACCTGTCATTGCAAGGGGATGTATAATTAGAAAAAACGTATATTTCACATATTCATTAATTTTGGTGCATAGTAGTTAAGAACCCTGCTTTATCATCTGAATAACAAGTTTGCAACTTCATGATTTGGAATTATTTTCTTAATCGGGTTTACTTCAAAGGCTTCTCACAAATACAACAGATTATACGTAATTTTCATACTTTGAAAATGCTAATTGTATTTTTCAACCTAGCAACAGTGACCTGTATGGGTGGCTATATACAGAATTGGAATCTCATCCTAAAATTTTTTGTGAAAAATGGCCAAGGAAATCTCTTTTGCCTGTAACACCATGGTAGTGTGAGGGCATGGCTGTCTTTGAGCTGTTTTCCTGAGTCTGTAAGTGCATTTTTAAAGAGATTTATTCACTGCTAATAAGCCAGGTGGAGAAAGACAAGTACCAAAAGATTTCACTCATTTGTGGAGTATAAAAACAACGCAAAACTGAAGGAACAAAACAGCAGCAGACTCACAGACTCCGAGAAGGGACTAGTGATTACCAAAGGGAAGGAGATGAGGAGGGTGGATAGGGACGAAGGGAGAAGGGGATTGAGGGGCATTATAATTAGCACTCACGATGTAGGTAGGTCACGGGGAAGGCAGTACAGCACAGAGAAGACAAGTAGTGACTCTGTAGCATCCTACTATGCTGAAGGACAGTGACTGCAACTGGGTGGCAGGGGGTGGGGACTTGATAATATGGATGAATGTTGAAACTACAATGTTGCTCATGTGAAGCCTTCATAAGATTGTATATCAATAATACCTTTATTAAAAAAGTTATTCACTGGTAACCCCATAGAACACTGAGGCTAGGTAAATCTCATAAACTGTGAGTTTAAGCTGGTGTCTAGGCTTACGTGTTCTATTGTGTCCCTGCACCCACCTTTAGATGTGGTTGGGACAGCAGGGAGGATTAGCTTTAACCTTTAGTTTACAACGCCCTTTTGAATAAGTTTCCTGGTATGAATGTCTTTCTTCTTAGAAGCTCAACATTTGATTTGCACATTTCCCTTTACTTTTTTTCCATAATACTTTATTTTTTTTTAACTCAGGTTTAAGAACTAGTTGAGACCATTGTTTTCCAAAAGCATTGAGTGTTTTTTTGCCAGTTTGCTGAGATTGGATATTCTCAGCAGAGCAATGATGTCCATGGATTATTTGGCAGGAAAATTTTTAAATACTTTGAGATTCTAAAGTAAGAGATAAAAGGTTTGGGTATGGTGTTTGAGTATTCTTTCTGTTAAATCCAGGTCTCACAATAGGATTTAAAGATAGCATATCTTGTGAAAAGGAAACAGAATTAATAGGAAAAAAAATTTCCCCGACATTTTGGAAACAGCAAACAGGGCCAAAGACTGATTAATATTTCCTCAGCTGGAAATGTGGCCTAGGTTTTAATCTGCTTCCGGGTAACAAAAGAAGAAGTAGGTCCTGGTGGGCTCACTCCTTAAGGGCTTCTGTTGAAGTATTGACAAGGCTCCCCACTACCTACTCAGCAGAGTGAGAACTTAATCAGAAAAAGAAGAAATGTACCTTTATAATTTTTTTAAAGCTCATTTCATGGTCTGAGTATCTTTTTCCTACCCGAGTATCTAATTTTCTACAAAAATTCCACCGGTAAAATGAGAGATGATAGATACTAAACAGAATTAATCTCTTTATTCTCTGTGTTCCCATAGGTTCCTCACGATTTTGCTCTCATCTGTTTGTGCCCGTTTCTTCCTCTCCCACTAGAAAGCTCCGTGCAGGCGCAGTTGGGTTGGCAATCTTCATACCCTTCATAATGCTTCATAGTACCTTCTATGTAGCAGGCCCCCACTGAGACTGGGATTAGAGAAAATACCAGAGGCCATGGGAACCAGCTGTATTTACAGAGGCTGAGCTCTTCCCTATCACAATTGAGAAAATCAATTCCTATAATATAGTAAAATCTCTTTACATGCTGTGGCTACGATTTTGGGGTGATTACCTAGAAATTTGGCTTTTTTGTGTTGTTTTTCGTGTCTAGGATACAGACTAAAGTTTTAGTTGTGTTTAGATGAGATGAGTTACAGGAAATATGAAATGTGAGGCACTGTGACTGTTTTTCTTGAGTGATCTTTCTTTAAGAGAAGCAGACCTTGGGAAGATTTGTTGCAAGATAGCCATATACTAATAGGTAGAAACAGAAATGACTATGAAAACCAGATGTTTCGTCTGGGCCTCTCTTCAGAAACAGGGTTTCAGTGTTGGCATATATCATTTTTCTCTTGTTTACCCACACTGATTAAAGGGCATTTATCTCGTGGTGTGCACAATTGCTGTGTGCCATACGAATTAGCATTCCTTACCATCATGGTTTCTACACAACATGATATTTCTGTTGGCAATTTAAGTTTATTACTTTAGAAATTGTCATATTGGAAATCCAGGATGTGAGCAATATTTATTTTTGGGGGGGATTTGTTAGAAAGTACCTAGTTTCCTGACATGGGCAAGAGGCTTTATAGAGTTTCCCCCTAATTTTCAGGGATATATTTGTATTACATGTACATCTTAACTTGTTATTGTAGGTTTTGTTTGCTTCAATTTAGAAATTTACAGGCTTGCTTTATTTTGTCTTACATGGCTCTCAACTCTTCCTTGAAAATATGAAAGATATCTTATTTGTGGTTCTGATCCTAGGCTGATTTGGTTTCTTTTAGACCCTAACCCATTTAAATAAAGGAAAGAAAGCATTTTGTTCTGATTTTAATACTGTATAGTCTAACTTATGTTGTGGTACATTTTTCCCTCAGGTTCACATCCAGCTTTCAGAGTGGCATCGTGCGATTTTTCTCCCACAGGCCTGGCTGGCATATATGAGTCGAGCTTACCATGCCATTTTACAGGTAATGAAACCACTGGATACTTTGCTTTAGGCGAGGATCTCCTTATTATCTCAGATTTTACTGCAAGTATGCATTTAATATAAAAACACTTAGGAAAATAACACTATAAAAAATGCAGTGGTTGTTCTTGCTCATTAAAGAATATAAGGGATATATACGTAACTGCACTTAAATTTTAAATGTTGGTGGGCCTTTGTGCGTCCTGTCCAGAGCTCCCTCTGGAGTCCTCCTCTCTTACATTGTGCTGCTTGCCGAACATCTCCTACATGTCCCAGGTGTCCCCCATGCCTGGCCCATGGTACCTTGGCTCACACATGTCCCACCATGAGCTCCACCTCTGCCCTTGTACCTGGGGCTTGCTCACCTCTCCAGCCTTCTCTCTCAACCTGAATCTTGTCTCAGGCTTGCTAAGTCTCAGAGTATCTTCTGTCGCCTCTTGGCTTTGACACAGTGTTCCTTCTCCTGCAGGCACTGCCACTCCCTCTTTGCCCACCAGTTTCTTTTTGATCTTTAAGATCATTTTATCTGGGAAGGTACATGTGTGCCTTCCCCACCCTCCCCATCTGAATTGGGTGCCCTTCTTGTATGCTTAGAATCCATGCTTCCCTGTGTGAAGCCCTTATTACCTTAGTTATTTGTCTGGGGCCTCCCTCTAGTTGGCTGTGTTCCTTAAAGCTGTGTTTTCTTCTCTGTTGCCTCTCTAGAAGCTGACATACTATCGAAAACATAATAGGTACTCACTAAATAAATGAATTCTATTCAATTTTCATTTACTCTAATAATATTATAAGTTGTAGTTTGTGCATTTTTTAAATTAGAAATAATTTTTCATCAGTTTGAGAATATAAGTAAACAACCAAATCCTTTTTCCTAGCTTAAAATTTATTTTTAAGGATGATCAGAAAAGTGATTTATGGTCCAGAATGAAATTTGCATAGAGTGTCAGGGAGTGTGTTATGATTAAAGGTAACAGCTGTCCCAAAAGATGGGGAGTTGGGGAGATGGGGGAAGGAATGACTAAGCATCTGAGCGTTGTGTTCTCATCTTAAAACCTTACTGCAACATACCTGATAGAGCCTAGAATTTACAAAGTACTGATGCATCTTCAGAGATTCTCATTCATTAGACTTGAGTAAGGGACAAGGAATCTCCATGTTTACCAAGCTGCCAGGCAATTTTAATGCAATTAGTCTATCTACCCACGCTTGGGCAACTCTGAGCAACAACGTTTTAGATGTCACCCCAAACTACTCTGTAATCCGCATTTTAAAGATGTTCCCTTTAAATCATTATTTTTTTAGCTTACATATTTTTTATCTTCAACAGCATCTGGGCACTCAGTTTTGATAGATATATGAGTGAATGAATGCATTACTCATACATGTCCTTAACCAATTATAGCTTTTATTCAAGAAGAGTGAGATTACAAGAGAGACTATGCATTTTTTTCTCACGTTAATTTTTCTCTACATAATTTTGCAGTGTTTTCCCTTTCCAAACATTTATGGAGCACTTTTTACTGGCCAGGCTCTGTGCCAGGGAGTAGGATTCCAAGTGGAACCAAGTACCCCTTCCTCTCAATGAGCTCCCAGTCCAGTGTGGGAAACCAGTGTCCACCAGCAATTCCAGTACATCTTTGATGCTTTAATAGAGGATGTATAAAGTACTACAGGCTCCCAGGGAAGGCTAGAACAAAGCAAACAGGGTAGAGTACCCAACCGTCTGTACATGAACGAACTGGAACGTGACCCAGATCTATCTGATGGCAGAGCCTCAGCCTTTCCCTCTGTGTTGTGTGTTTTCCCCAACATCATCATTAGTTGTAACAATAAATAATGCAAATTGGTTTAATATTTTAAAAGATGAATCTATTTATGAAAATTCAGCTGAGTATTTTTAGTAATGAAGGTCAGTTATTCTGCCTTTCTGCTGTGTTGTAGGTGCTAGTAGGCCTCTTTGTTTATTTGTCATTCAGAATCTGTTCACTTTGGATTTCTAGTGGTCCAGTTCCACTGAAAAGTGGTGACAAACAAGTGAAATTCAAAGTAGAGACTATAATAAAAAGTACAGCAATTTTTTTTAGTTTATCACTATTATTTAAAAGTCCAGTGATGCCTAGAGTTCAACAAGTTTTTAAAGTGAGCCTACACACTCATAGAATTTATGGTCTTGGAAGAATTAAAGCATTGCTTCACTCCTTGTCTATATCAAGAACTGTTGTCCTGGAGGGCATTTTTCTTGCATAGGAGTTATATTTACTTCCATCTGGTGCAAGACGTATTTTCTAACATTGAACTAGAAGATCATTTAGAGGAGGCACGTTTCATTCATTTAAGCCTAGGAGACACACTAAAAGGCACATTCTTCATTAGCACCTGGAGGTTGATTATGATGTGAGTAAGTTTGAGATTTGAACACTAGTGGCTTTTGCTTAGGCATCTGCTTCCAGCTTTAAGTTTTCCACCAAGAACATGGGATTTTGAGTTATAAGTATATTAATGTGGTTGACGTGGGGAGGTTTTTGGATTTCTACCCGTTAAGATGAAAAATGCAGACATAAGTTGCTGGACAGCTCGGAGCCCATTTTGGCAAGGAGATCTCTACCCCCATGTTTACCTTGCTGCCCTTGTGGGGTGCTGAGGATGGTAAGGGCCCTTAGGATTGTGAATATGACCTCAAAAAGCAGACAATTAAAGCAGGCTGACTGCAGGCATTTGTCTCCTAATTTGTTCAGCTAGCTGCAGAATAATCTGAAATCAAAACCAGAATCAGGAATAGCAGCCCCCGATAAATTATTCTCTGACCATTTGTAAGGGCTGGGGTTTTTTTGGTTTTGTTTTAAATGTGTACATTTGGAGCTAGGTCAATTGCTCACTATAATCAGCAAGCTCTTGGTTATATAGACTGGAGAATTTTAAAAAGCAAGAGGGATAGATAGATTAATAACTGGAATCTACAGGGAATCTAAAAATTCCAATTGAGGTGATCCTTGCAGCCTTGTCTCTCCCATTTAGAGCTCCCGCCTTAACCACAGCTGTTAACCAAAGGCAGAGGTGACTGAGCCGAATGCCACTGATCACTATTTCCAGTAGGCAGAGAATTGGGAAGGCAAAGTGGATCTGAATACATAGCCTAACATGGCCTGGGTGGAAGGGGTTTGAGATTCCAGAGGAGGGGATTGAGAGACTCTGAGAAAGAAAAAGTAAGAAATTTACTTAGTCACAGTTGAATAGTTGTATTGCTTTATGGGTACAGGAGAGAATAGAAAATTAGGCCTTCTCACGAGGTTACACTATACTAGCTTTTTTGTTTTATTTTTAAGCAAAATTTAACCTTTTAATTCCTATTTCTTATATTTTTTGGGAAAACATTATGAAAAGTAATTGTTTTAAGAGAAAAGGGGCTTAATTTAAGAAGCATAATTAACAGGCAGCCAATAAAAATTACTTTCTCTTTTGCCTACCCTGCTAGGAGGCCAATATGAATGTTAAATATTAATACCAATATCTTGCCAGTTTGACCACGTCTGATACCTTGCTCCAAGAGATAGAGAATGAAAGGGCCAGGATCCTATCTTTAAGAACATGGAGACAGACATGGATATGATTGAAGTAAACGGAAACTACGAAGGATGTGAATAGAATTCTCAGAGAGCTTGAACTAGTGGGCCCCAGGCCATTGTGTCCTGGTCATTGTGCTAAATGCAAGGACTTCTTAGACTGATAAACAATCCTTGCCTTCAGTAAGCTCACAGGCTAGTAACGGGAGCAGATGCAAGACATACAAGGACGTGCAACTGTACAGTTGGATGTTACATTCTTGGGAGCCCTTTACTCTATGAGATTAAAATATGAATTATTTCAAAAAGGATTTATATATATTCACAAAAGATTATTTCAAAAGGAGGTAATAAGGGGAGGTGGAATTTTTTGTTGTTATTGACAACAAACCTGGTGATGGCAGCTATTATTATCAGGCACTGTACTTAGGTAGACACTTTTCCACATGATGTAATATGATGCTCTAAAGCCATGAGATAGTGGTTAGCTACATTTTACCAATGAGGAAACTGAAGCTTAGAGAGGTGAAGCACCTTCCCAAATTTACACAGCAAGTACGTGGCAATGGTATTGGATCAAGGCATTCTGATTCCAGGGCCCGCATCCTTAACCCATCAAGCTATATTGCTTTCTTCTCTGGAGTAGAGAGAGATACTTTTCTTCTGAAGAACATACTTTAGAATTCTAAAATCAGTAAAGAAAAGACAACCAGTAGAAAAATGGCTGGAATAGGAAATCCAAAATCAATAAATATTTGAAAAGATGCTCAGTCTCACTTGTAAACAGTGAAATGAACATTAGAACCAGAATGAACATCATTTCACACCTACCAGAATGATGATGGTTAAAAGTCTGACAATTTCAAATGTTGGGGAGGATGTGAAGTAACTAGAATTCTTATTTACTGCTAATTGAGAACTTCAGCTTCACAGACACTCTGAAAACAGTGCAGTATTACTCAGTAATATAACACACATCTAAGATCTTGGCCAATTTAGATTCATCAATAAACCAGTATTTTAATTGTATATAAGTCATGTAATTGGTGATAGACCAGAAGGGAAAGCATCTGACCAAAATAATCCTGAGTGTAAAACAATAGAAAGGATAATAAATATTTAAAGGCCTTGGTCTTAAAGGGATGATATTAGCTATATTTTTACTACATGGTAGAGTTGAAAATTACATTTTTTAAGTTCATTCCAGAAATAGAAATGTAATGTGAGCTACTGGAGAGTAAGTTTTGTTATATAATACCTGAATCTAAAGTGTTATATACTTACCTCATCTTCTACCATTTTGTTATAATACTGGAGCCCAGACCCTAGTGTTGGTAAAGCATCAGTTAAAATTATCAGCTGCTGACACAGATCATTGTGATTTTTTTGAATGGGACCTATGGTCTTCAAATCTGTTTTTAATAGATAATCCAAAACAAAGTGCTCTGCACCAAATTTGCCAAACACACAGCTTCTCCAGGGTATACTTCTTTGGTGAATGTAGAAATACCTGAGCAGTGATATAATTATCTCCTCACACATCCTCTTTCCTAATCTAATATCCTATCAGGAACACTTCAGGCCAATTGGGAAAGGATATGTCTATGATAGAAGTGGTTTTTAAAGAAACTTTAAGATAAATTTGGCCCTGGAACTTGCATGCTGATTTATGCCATGTTTTTCCCAGGGAAGAATAGGCGAGCTGGAGTTGCAGTTAAAGCATGGAAAAGAAGAGCCTGGGGAGGTGCAGTACAAGAAAAGCACAGCCTGGCTCTGGTAAGGGGATGGACTCTGCAGCTCTCCGCTTGTCTGGGAATGAGCTATGAGGGAGAAACTGACGACTTTAAAGGCATTAATTGGGAATTTTAACTTCTATGTGAGCTTGAAGGGGAAAAGACTGAAGATCTGAGAGAGATGTTTTCCATCCCCTCCCCAGGCATAAGAAGGAGAACTTTATCCATAAACAGTTTACTTGTTTTTATTTTTTTCCTAAAACAGTGTGGAAATGGCTTTTTTCCTTTTTCCTCTGTAACTGATTATTTTATATGCTTTTGAGTGAAAAATTCTCTTCTTTCCACTCTATTCATTACCTTCCTAACTCACATTTAGTCAAGGAATACCCTTCCATTCCCCTGCGGCCCCCCTCCTGAGGACTCTCCAGTATTAGAACTTTACCATGTCGGGGCTTTGATTTCTTAGGCAGGTGCCCCCTAGTGGACTCCCGCGATATTATCTAGAAAAATGTAAGTGCTGGCACATTCAAATCAATTTAAATTGTTACATGGGTTGGGAAGAATAACTTGTCAGGTTCATATAGCAGCAGCCCAAGTCTAGGTAAAGTGACCAGAATCCAAATAGCCTTACCTGCAGCCACAGGTTTCTTTAATCTAAAAATCAGTTCAAAGGTTACTTGATTTTTAGGTATTTATTTAATGACAATTGGCATATATAGAAACACAGAAGCTGTGTGTGTGTTTAATTTTAAGTTACATTTCAAGATTTGTTTTTAAAACAGCAGTGTAGTTTAAAATGTTATGACATTGAATTTAAGATGAGAGGTTAAGAATTTTGATTTTGCTTCCTATTTATTATTATCTTTTATATATAGTTTTAATATCATCTTCTGAAAATGAGTGGAGGTGGTATATTGGCTATACTTTCCAAAATATACAGAGATATATGGAATGAAGGATCTGAGAGAAAGACGGAAGTCAAGGATAACTCAAAGGTTTTGACTCTGAATGATGGCAAGTACAGAGTTCCCGTTTACTACGATAGGGAAGACTATAGAAAAGCAGGTCTGTGTAACATAGGCATCAGGTTTGGGACTTGCTAAGTCTGAGGCACCTAATCAGACCTCCAGCTGGGGATATCAAGTAGGTTGTTGTCTGTTGTGAGTCTAGAGGTCAGGGGTGAGGCCAGGACTAGAAATATAAATTTGGAAATTATCAGCCTATCGACTGCATTAAAATCATGGTATTGGATGAGGCCACCTAGGGAGCGAGTGAAGATAGATAAAGATGGTAAAGGTCAGAGGACTGTGCTGTGGAGCACTTCAGTGTTAAGAAGTGGGGAAAATGGAGAGGAAACCAACAAAAAGCACATGGAAAATTAGTAATCAGTGACGGCAGGAGAAAACCAAGAGAGAGTGGAATCTTCAAAGCCGAGAAAAATGTCTCAAGAAAGGAGCAACTAGTTGTGTCAAATCAAGTTCAAAGGTTACTTGATTTTATTCATAAATGTTTCTGCTGTGAGGCTGCAGAAGATGGAGAGTCAGAAGTGGGAATTAGATTTGGCCTCTTTTAAGTCATTGGTGACCATGATGGGGGCTGTTTTGGTGGAGCTGTAGGGACAAAAGCCAGGTTGCAGAAGGGTGTAGAGAGCGTGAAGGGAGGTGAACGAGAGCCATCTTGGTACCAGCTACTCTTCTAAATGCGCTCTGATGTATGAGAAGCAGTGAATGGGGCAATAGTAGAGTGCTTTTTCCTCTTTCAGATGATAGGCATTATAGCATGTTCACATGCTATGGGGAGTAATACAAGTAGAGAAGGAAAAATTGGTAATGCAGCAGAGAGAAGGAAGTGGGTAAGAGGAGGAAACGAGTCCACAAATGGAAGGGTTGGCCCTGCATAGAAGTACAGGCAGGCTGTCCTAGTGTGTACATTGAATGCACTGCACTCCATTTAGGAAGACTGAGGTTGGACCGTACATTTTACAGAAATGTATTGTCAAATAGTTCTATAAAATACAAGTTTAAAATATGTAGGAACAGTGCAACTATCTGAAAAACTTGACAATGACTCATACTCAGAGAGTGCTGACAGCCAAGATTTTATTGTATTTCAAATGAAAATATTTATGAATGAAGTATAATTTGTATTTACAAAAGCTTTATAAAAACTTTGAATTTATGGAACTCAAAGTATAGTGAAAATGTCTATGATTTGCTCTTTAAAATGTGAATTTGGCAGACATTATCTCAACACACTTAGATTGAAAAAAAAAGTTTTATTCTATGAATGTTTGAATTGAGCATACCTTCCTTCAGATCCACAGTGTAATTATTTTCTTTTAGCTTCAGAGTGATTTTTATGACCAATGTTAAATTCTGTTTTCTATACATACATACATAGTGACTATTCCATTATCTACAATTTGAAAATAGTAAATAATTTTTTCAGTGAGCTCTTGTGCAAAAAAAAAGCGAATGTCTTAGTTTTGGCTGCTGTAACAAAAATGCCATAGACTGGACATTTAAACAACAGAAGTTTATTTCTCACAATTCTGCAGGCTGGGAAACCAAGGTGAAGGTGCCAGCCCATCAGTGCTCGTGAGGGCCTGCTTCTAAGTTTGCAGATGGTTTCCTTCTCCCTGTGTTTTCCTTCACGTGGTGGAGAGCAGAGAGAGAAAGCCAACTTTCTGATGTCTCTCCCACTAAGGGCACTAATCCCATTCTGGAGGGCTCCACCCTCATGACTTCCCAACAGCCCCATCTTCAAATACCGTACATTGGGAGTTAAGATTTCAACGTCTGTATTTGAGGTGGGGTCGAAAGGGGAGAGTAATATAAAGGACACTTGTAAACCCACTGCTAGGGTTAAGAGGTGACAACATTACAGCACTGCCTGTATAGCCCTCAGTACGTTCACCAACTCTGTCTCCAGTAAGTGACCTAAGGAATCAGAAGATGAAACTCTCTTTGAAGTAAATCCCATAATGCAGTCTTTCACCTTACACTAAAATTCTATGTACATAGTTTTAAGGTCTGGAGTCATTGCCAGTGGTTCTTATTAATTGATGAATAAGCAAACAGATTGGATTCTTGCTCTGATAAAAACTCTAATACCTATTTTCCATCTTTGTTGCAGGGTCCGAGACATGCTAACTGATGAGATCACTAAGGCAGCTGCCAAGTAAGATCCATTTATTTTCTTAACAAAAATTTTCTGTAAACATTTTTCTTCTGACAGGTACATACTCTAAAATATCTTTTAGGGTATTTCATTACTTTAAGAATTTTAAAGGACTCTTCAACCATATTTAGAAATACCAGTTGTTGTCTTCTCTCATGTTATTTCTTACTACATTGTGAAAATGCAGAGGAACCAGTACAAACACCTAACTTTTACATCAAAAGTCACTGAGGTTGTTTCTTGTTTACCTAACAGGATTCCCTGTGCTTTGTCTTAGATTTAAAGGATTCTATTTTAGTTCTGAGCAGTGGGGAGAAAACCTTGCTAATGTGAATTATGTGGGTTCTGCAAATAGATTATTAAATCTCAACTGTGAGCTAGCAAGTAAATCAGAGTAATACTTCCTTTCATTCCCTTTGTGTCATTGGATCCAGGAAATTTTCAAATGAATTTTTTTAACGCTGTATGTTAATGTGAAGACCCAGTAAAAAGGCAATTTCAGTCATATCCTTATGGTTGTTTAAAAAATATACCTTGAATATTATTACTTCCTCAAGGCTTTTTATTTATCTTAAGCCAACTCTCACTGAGAAAATTATACCCTGATGAACTTGCTTGAACAGTCTCTTCCAGGTTCCTGTGTTAACAAGCTGAATAATTGTTCCTGGCAATAAATTTCATGTCAGTAATAAACTCTTCTCCCTTCTAATATCACCTCTGGCTGCTGCCATTTCTGTTTGACTTCCCTCTTCATAGCCACAAAATAGCATAGATATACCTTTGACCTAGAGGATTTCATGTATATTGGAAGTCCATATCATCTAGAAATATGTAATTGCAGTATAGTTTATCCCTATCATGTCCCAGAACTTTCTATAGTAAGTAGGTTTTGGCTTTAAAAACAAAAACATGATGTACCTTAGAGTTAGCTTCTACCAGCAATTTCTTAAACAGGCACTTAACTGTGAAGTCTGATCTCAGTACCGGATCACTACTCAGCCTTGTGCCTTCTGAATAAAGGGAAATAGAAGTGGTAATCCTCCCTTCCTCTCAGTTCTGTGGGAGGCACTGGGAAATATCTGTTGACATATCTTTTGACAAAATGAAAACTAAAGTACAGAGAGGCTTTGATAGGGACTCATTTGTGCCTGCTTATCTAGTTGGTGAATTGCAGACCGAGTGGGAGAGCACTCAACTGCACAGCAGAGGGGAGGGGGTGCAGGGGTTGAGGTGGGGGTCGCTTTGACCTTTACCTTTCAGTTTGTTCTATTAGGTAGTCTGCTTATATCCTGTTAAAAACAGTGCTTTGACATTTGAAAAAAAATCTTGAATGCTGAAAAACTAGCAGCCTTCTACGAAAACAAACTACTTTTGCCTCCTGGTAGCTTTTGCATAGTTCCATTCTAAAGTTTTATTTCAACAAGATTTTAATCTTCATATTTGCAAAGCATCCTTTCATGACTAAGAAGAGTGTGTTCACATTCTCAGAGGTACAGAGTAAAACTAATTCATATTCTTATGGTGTTAACTTTTCACCCAAAATTACAAAGTATTCTGTAGACCTTACCTCATTAAAGCAATCCTGACAATATTAGCTTAAGTGAATAGGAGATAGTGAAGGTCCAGAGGCAGATTAATGATAGAGCAGGGGAAAAAAATCCACTCTGCTGCCCTCTCTTCTTTGGACCAGGGCTGCCACAGGCTGGTTTGGGCTAGTGTAGGACTTTGTTTTGAGCAGGAAGTTAAATGCAGGAAGCAAAACACCAGTCATAGGATTAGACTGATATGCTTATTTGAGAGCATTTTTAAACATCCATGATAGGGCTTAGGGAGAATCAGAGCCCAGATAATACCTGATGATTGATGTAAGTTTATTTTCATTGTTATTAATTAAATAGATTTGAACCTGAAGATAAAAATCCCGAAAGGATTGAGTCTCTTTACTAATATATAATGTAGTAGTTTGTGCCTAAGAAAGCATCACTGTAGCTCATCCTTCCTTGTGCTTTTTAATTAGGTTAATGACATCAGTTTGTTTCAAAGGACAATTTAATTAAAATGTCAGTGGTGTTGCCTAGATAAATACTGTGCTGATGCTGACACGTTATTATGCAAATTAGTTACAACTGGTAGGGGACAGTTATTTGATCAACAGGGTGATGAGGTTTTTCTGAACCAATTGCAGATTCTCACCTGGCCAGTTCCTCCTTTAATTTGTTTCACTAAGTATGTATTGTTTTCTCTCCATAAATCACTGTGCTAAGCAGGTAGGGAATGCAAAGACGGTCAAGAACTAGTCATGGGTCCTTTGTGAAATGTATAGCATGGCCTAAGCATGCCTGAGGGCACTGTGGACTAACTAGTTTTTTCTATTCAGAGATTAATGTCCAAATACGCATTTATTTTGTAGGCAGAGGTCTACAAACCTAAATAACTAGTGGCTTTAAAGATACTTTTTTTCCATTTTACAAGAACAATACATGCTCAATAATGTCAGGACCAGTGAAACTTTTGATGCAAAATTGCTTTGGGTGATGTTTTACAATTGAGACTAAATTCTCTTTCATAATTTCTGGGTTAAAAAGATACTTCTTATGTCATATCATCTAATATCCTTGTTTTAGAAGAATTGATATCCAATTTCTGGTGATCAACTAAGTTTTTCTGCAGGGTGATAAAAACTGAGGATCTAATTCTTAGATCACTGAGAATGCAGAACTATTTTTCATCTGACTAGGGATTCATGACCATTTTGTAGCAGGACTGGCTTCAGGATATTCTCACCTAAAGGAAAGAGATAACATTAGAAATGAAAGATTTCCTTTTGGTTTTGGTTAATAATTTTATGGCTAGGGCACCTAGGAATCCCCAGGTCTTGCCTCGCTTCCTGGTATTTCACTATTAGCTGTATGAGTTCTCAATAATCCTCACTGCAAAACTAGCAAAACCTAGGTTTAAGTCATCTGTTTAGACCTCAAGTCTCCCTTCGTGTTTTCTCCTCCCCACTCCATCCCCCAATATAAATGTCTTATCAATTTATGGCAGGCCTCGTAGAGGATGCAGTTAAGGAGGGGTGAACAGAATGACCAAGTAAGTACAGAGTCAAGCCATCACTGAGCTTAACTACCACAAGGTGGGAGAGAAGGGAGCAGAGAATAGATGGGTAGATAGAGGGAAGAACTTGATAATGCCAAGTCCTGAGTTAGTCTTATCAAACGGAAGCAAAAATGCAAGAACACTTTTTTTTTTAATCAAATGAACTTTACAGTGGTTCAACAGCTCCCCTCCTGCTAGTCACTTTTCAGTGTCTTTGAGTCTGCTGCCATTTTGTTCCTTCTATTTTGCTTTGTTTTTATATTCCACAAATAAGTGAAATCACATAGTATTTGTCTTTCTCTGCCTGGCTTATGTCACTGAGCATAATACCCTTTAGATCCATTCATGTTGCAAATGGGAGGAGTTCTTTTTATGGTAAAATAATATCCCATTGTGTATATATACTACATCTTAATCCATTCATCTATTGATGGAAACTTAAGTTACTTCCATATTTTGGCTATTGCAGGCATGGCAGCGATAAACATAGGTGCACATATATCTTTTCAAATCAGGGATTATGTTTTCTTTGGGTAGATTTCTAGGAGTGGAATTACTGGGTCAAGTGGTATTTCTATTTTTAGTTTTTTGAGGAACTTCCATACTGCCAATTTACAGTCCCACCAACAGTGTAGGAGGGTTCCTCTTTCTCTGCATCCTTGCCAGCATTTGTTGTTCCTTGTCTTTTAGATGTTGGCCATCCTAACAGGTGTGAGGTGATATCTCATTGTGGTTTTAATTTGCATTTCTCTGATGATTAGCAGTGTAGAACATCTTTTCACATGCCTTCTGGCCATCTGAATTTCTTCTTTGGTGAATTGTTCATATCTTCTGTCCATTTTTTAATCAGGTTATTTGCTTTTTGGGTGTTGAGGCATGTGAGTTCTTTATATATTTTGGATGTTAACCCCCTATCGGATATGTCATATACAAATATATTCTCCCGTACTGTAGGATGCCTCTTTGTTCTTCTGATGGTGTCCTTTGCTGTACAGAAGCTATTTAGTTTGATGTAGTCCCATTTGTTCATTTTTGCTTTTGTTTCCCTTGCCTGAGGAGATGCAATCAGGAAAAAGTTGCTCATGTTTATATTCAAGAGATTTTGGCCCATGTTTTCTTCTAAGAGTTTGTTATAGTTTCATGACTTACATTCAGGTCTTTGATCCATTTTGGTTTACTTTTGTGTATGGAGTTAGACAATAATCCAATTTCATTCTGTTACATGTAGCTGTCCAGTTTTGCCAACACCAGTTGTTGAAGAGGCTGTCATTACCCCATTGTATATCCATGGCTCCTTTATCGTATATTAATTGGCCGTATTTGCTTGGGTTTATATCTGGGCTCTCTACTCTCTTCCACTGATCTATGGGTCTGTTCTTGTGGCAGTAACAAATTATCTTGATTACTGAGGCTTTGTAGTAGAGCTTGAAGTTGGGGAGCATAATTCCCCCTGCTTTATTCTACCTTCTCAGGATTGTTTTGGCTATTCAGGGTCTTTTGTGGTTCCATATGATTTTTAGAACAACTTGTCTAGTTCATTAAAGAATGCTGTTGGTGTTTTGATAGGGATTGCAGTGAATCTGTAAAATACTTTGGGCAGGATTGCCATTTTGACAATATGAATTCTTCCTATTCATGAGCATGGGATAGATTTCCATTTTTTGGTGTCTTCTTTAGTTTCTCTTGTAGTGTTCAGAGTGTAGGTCTTTCACCTCCTTGGTTAGGTTTATTCCTAGGTATTTTATTCTTTTTGATGCAGTTGTAAATGGAATTGTTTTCCTAATTTCTCTTTCTGCTAGTTCATTGTTAGTGTATAGGAAGCAACAGATTTCTGTGTATTAATTTTGTATCCTGCAACTTTGCTGAATTCAGTTATTAGTTCTAGTAGTCTTTTGGTGGAGCTTTAGGGCTTTCTATGTATAATATCATCTCATGTGCAAACAGTGACAGTTTAACATTGTCCTTACCAGTTTGGATGCCTTTTACCTCTTTGTGTTGTCTGATTGCTGTGGCTAGGACCTCTAAGTACTGTGTTGAATAAAACTGGTGAGAGTGGGCATCCTTGTTATCTTCCTGTTCTTAGAGGAAAAGTCTTCAGCTTTTCGCTTTTATGTATGATGTTGGCTGTGGTTTTGTCATATATGGCCTTTATAATGTTGAGGTACTTGCCCTCTATACCCATTTTGTTGAGTGTTTTTATCATGAATGGATGTTGAATTTTGTCAAATGCTTTTACAGCACTAGACAAAATTCATTGAGATGATCGTGTGGTTTTATCCTCCTTTTGTTAATGTGGTTTATGACATTTTTTGGATTTATGAATATTGTACCATCCTTGCATCTCTCGAATAAATCTCACACAAGAACACTTTTAATATCTACTGACTCACGGGTTCAGTCATGACTTTGGCCTGGGACTAGATATACTATGCTTACGCAGGGAGCAGGGCTAGGAGTCCTCCTCAGCCCATATATGTGTTGTTTTCCTGCACTGAGGTAAGCAGGGAGTAGTTCATGGATATGACATGATTCAGGTTCAGGGTGGAAGTCCAGGTTTTGAGAAACATTCTCCATAGGTATGAGAACCCACAGTTATAGGACTGACTCCCAAACTAATAGATGGTATGGGTACTCTATTGCTTAAGTTCTGTGTTGACAGAGTTGGCAAGCCAAGAGCATCTCTTTAGTGTCCCATTTGGGATTTTATTCTATAAGATCACTTCACTTTGGAATTATGGAATAATATTAAATCTGCATCTTCAAGTGGTAAATACATTAAAAGGGTTCAGTTTTCTTGATACTGAATTTAGAAGTCAAACTTAAGTTTTTATAGCTAATGTTAGACAACTATTTGAACGAAATAAAAGGGCAGCGCTCAGCCTAAATAGTCTAGACACAGGCCATTTTTTTGCATCTTATCTAGGGTCTTAGTTTTATCACAAGCTGACTTTAAGGTTGTTAGCTCCAACATATTAAGAGAAAGAAAGGGAGGATAATAATGACTGAGGAAAGCTACCAGTGTGTCCAGTTGCGAGTAATGGATGCTGTCTCAAGTGCTTCACGAGAAGCTGGTTCCACACACCAGCGCTTTAGAAAAGCCAGAGGCCAATTCGGTTCTGCTGGGCCTCTTCACATAACTCCTTGATTGTGTGTTCAGAATGAATGGATACATTTATATTAGCCAAAGATGACACAGAAGAAGACAGCTCAGGAAATGTAATGTCAAATGATGTAGTAAGAATTTTAGGAAGAAAGAACTTGAGATTGGAGTTGGAGTTTTGAGTTACAGAAAAGTGTAATGACCATATATGGGTAAGAAGAGTTAAAAATCAGCAGTGGGGTCAGAAGGGAAGAAGCTGTGGGCATCAGGGAACAAACAGACCTGCACCTATGAGGCCCTGTGAAAGAGCAAAGTGCTTTTTGACCTCCTCTGCCCTCCCTATAATAGCGCCTTCTCTTCTTCTGGTTAATGCCCCGAAATCCTCTCTTGGAATTTTTTTCTATTTAAACAGAGACAGCCCAGTGGTCAAAGGCAATGCACTGTTAGCCTTAAGCAGCCTTGCTGTTGTCGTATCCAGACATGAAGCCGGCCTCTCCTCGGACTCAGAGGGGGTCCTGGAGGTGAGTTAAGGGTGATTTGAACCAGTTGTGCTTTGGTTGTGTGACCTTTGAAAGCTGAGAAGTGTCTTTCAGCCTGGCCCTGTGTTTATGAGGTTAAGAGTCTGTGATTGCAGTGCCAAGTTCTGCTCCTTCTGGGCCTTTACACTGTGAGCCTTAGTGTTCGCAAAGACACTTTTCTCTGCTGCTTTTCTGTTGTGTTTTCTCCATCACAGTAAAGTGGTCATTTCCATTTGAAGGTACCAATTTTCTGCAACAGGGGTTGTCTTCTTATGATTACATCAATGGTAACCAATCTGAGGAGGTTAACTAGGCTTACTGAAAGTGAACAATGCTGTCAAAAAATGATAAATAAGCAGTGTTTACTGACTGAAAAAAAATTGTACTTTGCATTTTAATTGTAGATGTCAACAGCAAAGTGCCTATTCATTTTTGCAAGGCATTTATTTCTTAATTAAACATGTGGTGTGCTGGCCAATGTTCATTTCCAGTGTACTTTTTCAGATAATTCATATCTGTCAAAATAAAAAGTCATGGATTTGTTCTTTTAAGCCCCATTATCTAGTAACTGTCATTATCTGGAGACAATATACCCAAGTGGTTAAAAAACATAAGCTTTGCAGTAGGAGAGTCTTATATTTAAACCATTACTAGCTCTATAACCTAATGTTGGTACCTTTTCCTCTTTCGGAGCTTGTTACCCCATGTGTAAAAAGGGGATAATGATACTTATCAGGTAGGATTATTGTAAGGAGTAAATGAATTACTACTTGGAAAGTACAATGACTGGTAGATGCTGAGCCCTCAGTAATAGTAACCATTATTGTCAGTACCAGCATATACTTCTTCACTTCTTGCTGCAAAAACTGGACTTGATTCAAAGTCATTCAGTCTGTCTCTGTTCCCTCAGAGTGGCTATGGGCCATCTGTACTCTTTCTTCATGGCAGGGTCTTTTGGGTGCAAGCAAAGAAACCAAGTCTCATTTAAATAAAAAAGGAACTAAATGGATAAGGAACCTGGAAGCCCATGGAGTTGAAGGCAAAGCTTAAAACCAGGTTTGGGGAAAACAGGAACCAAGGCAGCTTGGGAGAGTCCAGGCACAGGTACTGGGAACCAATCTCAGCAGACCATCCCCTGGAACAGATCCATTCTAGTCGTTTACTATCCTTGCATCACTCATTTAAGAGCCAGAGTCCTGTGGGTCCCATGCCCACACCCTGGGCAGGGCAAAATGGGTAGCTTGATTGTTCATTTAATCCAGCTTCAGATTAGAGGGAATCCCCATGGGGTGCTCTTACCAGTAAATAAGAGAATAGGTGCCATGGAGCAAGAGCTATAAATGCAGGTGGGGAAAGGAAAGAGGCAAATGGATTATTGTTTGATGGATAAAAATGTAGTTAGTTGCCAAGTGAAATTTTAACTTTAAAACCAGAATCTTACTAAATGATGAGAAAGATGAAACATTTTTGGAGGATATATTTCATGTACATGAAAGAGCCTTGGAAAACTTCAGCAGAGGCAACATGCTACATAGATATCTATGACCTAAAATGATAATGTGCCTTTCTAGGATGCCTTCACTTTGGTGTTTATTATGTCAGACTACCAGTTGCACAGGTAATTGGCCGTAGTAATAAATCAGGGTCTAGCCCAGAGTTTGAGTTTCAGGCAGTCTTATTCTTTATTCCCCCACCCTTTTGTTCTACACTGTAACACATAGTACATAAAATATTGAGAATCCACGCCCCCAAAGATGGGACTTTTCTTTTATTCTGGATGACCTTGCCCTTGGGTATTAACCCAATACAAACGCAAGACCTTTATATTTGATTAATGTTGAAGTTTAAACTTCATTCCAGTCAACATATGCCCAACAACTAAAGATCATAATAAGACCTTCTTTAATTCAAGGAATTAATTTCAAGGATACTAACTCTGCATTGACCTTTATAGTTGCACCACCTGAATGTTACCATGTGAGTTAACAAAATGCTTTTAACACCTGTGGTCATGATGATTTTTAAAACCAAGTTCTCTTTTTAATGAGTTACATTTTGTTTTTGCATTCTCTTTCCTCTTGTTTTCCAAACTGAAGATCTTGTATGCTTTCATACCTAATTAGCAAGGCAAATGTTTTGATGATTCTTGAACGATAAGTATATGGTGATAGTAAGCTCGGAAGAGCTCTCAGATTTGTTCTATTTATTAGAGTGCCCCATCCTCTCACTTCTGCTAAGTCTTGTATAAAAGGTAAATCTTATTCCTGTCGGGGCATGTATATTTGTCAAATATTTATCTATCTCCTCTGGTCCTGCTAGGTGAAGTTTACTTTTTGATAATAGCACTTCACTTTTTAATACAGAAGGGGGTTATGCCCTGGATCTAAAAATAATGTTTAGGTTTTTTCTTTTTTTTTCTATGATCATTTCACATTTTTCTTCATCTGTAGGTTCAACCTAATTTCCTTTCAACGAAAGAGTGGGTTTTCATGGTGTTTGATACCCTCCTGGTCATTGTGGATAGCCATTACCAACCCAGAGGACGACTTTTCTCCTCATTTTATTATGTAAGTCTAAGAAATAAGAAATGATCAGAAAACTCAAGGGTTGACTCTTCCCATATCGCTTGTTCAGATGAAATTCATGATATAGTGTAATGATTCCTGAGCTACACATTAGAATAACCTGGGGAAACTTCAAAAAAAAAAAGAATTACACACACACACACACACACACGAAAAAGAAATACCGATCAAATTGCTCAGGTATGGGCCTCAGGCATCGTCAGCATTTTGGCAGCTCTCTAAGTTATTCTCATGTGTAGTCAGAGGCAAGAGCTACAATTGTAGCAAAATAAACATTGGTTGAAGTTTGGGGTCCCCAAGTTTCTAGTCATAGTTTTTATCATTTTGGGGTATGTGACCATAGGAGGTTCACTTAATCTCTATGGGCCTTTGTTTCCTTGTTAAATAAGGCAACTAAACATTATTATCAATAGAGATTTTAGCCCTAGTTTCACTCCTTACTAGTTTTGTGGCTGTTGTCCTGACACTTAACCAATCATCTTATTTCCCTTACCTGTTAGATAAAGGTAAAAACTAATGTTTTGCCAACTTTATACAAGATTCTGAGGGTCGTATGATACAATTTGAGAAATGTTTTGAAAACTGTGAAATATTCTATAAATTCAAAGTAATATTGTTGCTGATCATAAACAAGCACCTGTTACTTAACCATTCTCCTCATGCTTACTTCCTAAGATCTGAAGCAAATTGAAAGCACACTTTGTTTTGTTTAGGTTTCATTTTCCCTTTATTGACCGGAGGGCATGTTTTATTTCTCTATCAGCATGGAATTATTTTGGTTCTGCCTTATCACTATCCATTGCTTAGGGAATTATAGTGATCATGGGACAATCAGCTGAGTGGCAGAGGATTATAGTTGATTTGAATAAAAATATAGCAGAGGTCCTAAACTGTTGCTAAGATCACCAATTCAGCCTGAAACTCCGTTGCTTTAATTCTTCTCTGTACAATACTTTGTGCGCCTCTGTCCTCTTGCCCTGGGGAGGACCTGGTATGTATTCTTCTGGGGCTTACGGTCTGGAACTAGATTTTTAACTGTACTTGAGGATAAAAAAATGACTTACTGGATAATGTAGAATTAAATTGAAAGGTAGATTTTGCTCAAAGAAGTAATTTCCTTATTATGCTTTCTTTTCTTTAAGAAGTGTTCTAATTCCTTTAATGATGGATTAAAAAAGTGTTTAGCTTATATAGAAGTCTTTGCAATAGCTCCTTATTAGTTCAGATATTCACCAGGACAGGATATTATATGAGATTTCTAATAATGATTCTTAGTTCTTACAAACCAATAAAAATAATCTCCCTACTAGCCAGATCAGGATTGCTTCTTACCTTTGTGATTTTTGCATTATTATACTTTTTCAAAGTGCTATTTCAAAAGTCACTTCCTTTATTTCCAGTGTTCTAGCAGCTGGGTCATTTTGAGTAGTATTGTCATTATAATAGTGCTATCTTAACTTAAAAAACACCATTGCACATGTTTGATTTTATCCTTAAAGTACTAAAGCTTAGAGAGCAAATGGGTGTAGAATTAAAAACACTTTTTAATGTGCTCTGACTGCCTGGGAGAGCATGCCCTTTATGGTGTGTCTGAAAATGTGAAGTGGATAATAGTGAGGAATGATAAACAGGCTTTCTTCTCCACTTGAGACGTATTTATAAATGTATATATGTCTGGTGGAGCTCCCTAACATGAGATTCTTATAGAAGCTGTTCATTATTCAGTTGCCCTGTCATTTTATTAGGGCTGTTATTCATTTCCCATAATTACATATAGGAAGAAGCATATAGAGCTCTCCATTTCATTTTGAATAGCTGGTTATTGCTTTGTAACCAGAGGCTTTAGGATTTCAACTTCCTTTTTAATTAAAAGGAATTAACCCCCTGTAGGAAATAATCCATCTACTGGGAAGCGTTCCCACCAAAAATTTTGGGAGATTTGCCAGTAGCTGCCTGTGCTAAACTTAGCCTTACTCCTCCATTGAGCTTCACCACCACCCCCTTGTCTTTCTCTCCCAGAGAACTCCTGGCTCTCTGGACATTTATATTGTAGCTTGATGGTTTCTCGAAGCTTGGATAACTTCACTTTGGGTTTTTATTATATACACGTGTAGGCTTTCAAAACACTGAAATTGTTTCAGGCTTTCCAGGGAGGGAATTCACACCCTTTAAAAGAAGACACTTGTAATTTGTTTTTCAATTATAAAAGGATATTATTATCTAACTTATTGTTTAGTAGCTAAATGTTTCAGTAAGAGTGAAAATGTGACCTATAGACAAACACAGAAATATATTTTTTTTGTTGGTTGGCAGGGCTGGGCCTCACAGAAGCTTGTATTGTTGTATAATGCTTTGGGATAGGTATGCCTCCTTCATGTTTTAAACAAAAGGCCGATCCCTTGTTTTCTTTCTCTGGCATGCCCTAGAAATCCTATTCTGGTGAAAACACAGCTAGTGCCATTGCCCGTTCTGCTGCCGCCACCGCTTTGTCTCTCCTGGTGCCCGTTTCCATCATCTCTTGCAAAGAGAAGGTTGAGGAAATCCTGAATATGCTGACTGCCAGGTTACCTGGGAAACCAAGAGCTGATGAGTCTCAAGCCGTGCAGATCCACATGGGCCTTGCTTTGGGGATGTTTCTCTCTCGTTTGTGTGAGGAGAAACTCAGGTACAGCTTTTTCAGATAGTCCTGGTTTTCCTCTTTGTGATTTAGGCAAAGGATTTCTCTCTCTCTCTCTCACACACACACACACACACACACACACTATATCTGAGCAATATGTGAATTGCTCAACTTTCTGAGATGAGCAAGTTAATCCTTTTTTCTCTTTTATGAGTGAATTTGTCTTTCATACCATCATATAGATATTAATGTATTTTAAGGGTTTCACCTATTAAAGTGATTGATTTCTTGAAAATCATTTTATGCTTAGATAAAAGCCCTGGATAAATCTGTGTAATAGATATGAGGAATACTCTAATCTTGGGGTGCTATAAATTGAGAAAGCTTCTTTTCCTTTATAAGGGCCTTTTTTTCCTTTAGAAGGGCCTGTAAGGGTGAAAATAATTGCTGATCCTTTATTGATATCAGTGTAAAGTGGGAGGAAAGGCCTGGGATATCCCTCATGCCCGGGGGTTCTGGGAATCACTGAGTTGCCTGAGAACTGCATGTACCCAGTTTTAAATACTGCTTTCATCCTGTGCCCAGGCTACATTTTTATAATCCGTAAAGAGTCTTAATCTGTGCATATTATACTGTGTGCTTTATTCAGTTTGCTCATTTTTGGGCTGCTAGCTTTATCCTTGAATGGAGTTAATAGAATATCAAAGACCCAGATGGAAAATTCCACTAAACAGGGAAATTTTCTTGTACATAAATCTACTTATGTGTTGTTGTGCATTATATGTATTCTTTATTTTATAACAAATCTTAGTATTTTACATATCCAGATTGATTGCAGTGTGGCACAATATGAATATTTGATTATCTTTGCATAGTTAGATGTCAGTGACTTGGAAGTTAGCCCCATTTTCCAGCAGTGGAAATAGAAGAGTAGAGAGACGCATCCTGTTGTGATGTTAAATGTCCTAAAACTTCCCTGGGTAGCAGAAGTTAGCTGTCTGTCTAAAAGCAAGAAATGGTGTTGATGTGGATAAACTGGATGACATTATGCTATATTTAGATCTCAGTTTGAAACCAGTGGTTAAAATTTGCATTTGTAATTTACATAGTTTTGTGCAAACACCAATATGTGAAATCTTCATGAGAATTGCTATTGATCTATTGAAATACTGTATTTCAGATGATCATTTTCAGCTCTTAGAAACATCTGCCAGGTGACTGGGGAGATTGGCTTATATTCTTTGTGATCCTAAATGGAATGTGTCCAGAGTATTCATTTTGTTCTATTCACCAGCATTAGTATTTATAGCCCTGGTTCTGGACATGAACAAGAAGCTGCCCTTTGCTTATAAATTGACTGTTACATATCTTGTGTGTGACAGAACACAAAGTATTTTTAAAGACTTAAAACTTGAAAGTGATTTTTTTCCCCTTTGCTACTATGCTACAAATGGCAGTCTCTTCACCATCTGTGCTCATGCTTTTTCTTCAGTATATTTTCAAGCAACATGTTTTACAGCTAAAAATGAGCCATGGCAGTTTAATTTCAGGCAACTCATTTCATCTTATATCCTGGCTCTGGCTCCCTTCTTCATTAGTTTAGGACGAGATGCTGCTGGTTTTAGGTGTTAATGAGTTTGTATTTGTGATTAATTTAATCATGCTACCTGGAGCCACCTATGATGGTTCACCGGCAGCATGCATCCCTGGTTCCTAGATTGCCTTCAACTCTGTCTATCCTGCTTGCCCTTCCCTTGCAGAAACCCTGGGGAAGGATACCACAAAGCTCTTCCCAAGGCTAAGTGTCCTCAAAATAACTGCAGATGTTAGCTTTGCCCTCACAATCCCTCCCTGTGGCTGGTGTAACTAGGTCTGCAGCCACTTGTATAGTTATTTGTGGTTCCCACTATCCTAATTTCTTGGAGCAAAGGAATCTGAAATATTTGCCTTTTGGTACTAATAAATATTTTATTAGATAATCACAATGTCTCCAGATAATGACATTTTTGGAGAATGTTCCTATTTTTCTAAAATTAAGGTGTTTTGATGGCTGTTGACCCTGCATAGTCAATGGTATCAAATAAGTGGCCCAAATGGCTCCATAGGGGAACAGATTTAGGGCCTTACATTGGCCTCAAGAAAGAAAAAAATCACCATGTGGTAGAGAATTGGGACAACCAATCCATTTTTTGCTATGCTTATGAAAAAGTCTCCTGAATTTTAATTCCAGTCTAGTATTTATTCAGAAAAGCATATTATTCCAAAGCCTGCTCTGTTTTAACTCCCAGAGGATACAAGTAGGTTCTCTTTAGCATTTGTTTAGAACGTTTAAGTATATTTCACTCCAGAGAACAACTATAATAAGACTTATTTAGTTAAAGCTATTAAAACTGTGTGTGTGTGTTATTGCAAAATATAATCCTCCACCTCAGGCAAAACCACTACAGTTTTGGTTTGAGAAGACATTACTTAAAGAGTTCTCTGGCTGGTTGGCATCCCTGGGCTGCATTCCCCTTAGCACAGGCTGACACAGCAACACGGGGGTTGACATGAAGGAACCCCTTGATAATAAAGTGTCGGTGATGAAGCCCACGACTGCCTGAATGAACAGCCATACGATTACCTTTTAGGTTTTATTTTACTATGGAAGTCATAGTTCTCCCCAAGACAATTACAAAGACCACATCAATTACTGAATAAAGGCAGAAAATACAGGGCTGGGTTTTTCCCCCTTTTTTAAAAAAAAAAAAAAGTAAGTAAAGGATAGAATTTATAACCTCCACAATTGAGACATGAAATCAGAAGTAATGGTCTTTGCAAGAAAGAGATTTGGAACAATTATTGATAATATCAGTTTAATGAGTTATTAAATATTCTGAAGAAAATCACTATCATTATTAGAAACCTTTTTTAAAAATGGTTTTTGCTTTTCAGTGATGTAAAATTTGGATGGGCTGAGAAAATGCAAAAGTAGCATATCTAGGGTTATTGGTTTGCAAATGATTATGTTCACAAACCCAATTATTGAATAAATCCTCTGGCTCAGTTTCTCTATCTACAAAATGATTATATATGAATAGTCAATATTATTGTTACTTAGACATTTTTTAAAGAAATGCATTTAAAATAAATCATTGACAGCAAAATATTATATAGTGTTTTGGACAGTTGAATGATTTTAAATCATTTTTTTCTCTTGGTGTTTACCCAGTGATGTATCTGGCCAACAGATGAACCTTCTTCTGATGAAGTCTTTGGATGCCCTGGAAAATTGCTGCTTTGACACTAGTCTTGAATACAAGTATGTTTCTTCTCTAACTGATACTTAGAAATTGGTTCTTTCTCTGCTGTAAATTTTGTGGTCTATGTGTTATAGGACCTGATCTTGAATTCCTTTGCAAAGAGTTTTCAATAATAATAAAAAATCTCTAGTTAAAGCTTACTAATTCTGAAAAACATGTTTCAGCAATAGACAGTTTGCTTCATTATTAGGCGACACATGCCATTTTGTAGCTCTCATTAAGTTAACCAATACCTTAGTTCTGTCTTATGAGGCATATATGTATCTGGGGACTTGTATGCATGACTTGACCTTTTTCAAAGATCTGTTGCAATTATTCTTTGAATTTAGCCTCAGAGAATCTTCGATCCATGAGCTAGATTTCCCTGTGAAATCCAATGGCTGAAGAATCAAAATGGCGACAACATAGGTTATACCAGGGGTTCCCACCCCAGATCTTAAAGATTTTGTCTATTAAATAAGTATTTTAAGATTGATTTTCTAATTCAGTCATGAAAGATTAAAAAAATGAAAAGGAATAATCAGAAAAATATCTCAAAAAACAATATTAAGCAACTCATTTAGTGAGATGTTTAATGTTTCATTAGTCTTGTTGGGAGGATGTACTATTTTATTAGGCTTCTGAAATCCTGACACAGTTGAGGACTTACACTGTACCCTTTTAGACTTCCACATGTTTTGGAATCTCAGGTGTGGACCCTCTGGGGGTTCATTGTTACTAGAAAACTCAACAGATTACAAGCACTAATGTCCAATTTATTAACTCATTTTACTTTTTACTATTATGGTTTCTGTTAACACATGAGTGGAATCAGTGTTTACATTTCTGGCCTTTAAGAACTTATCATCTCAAGTTACATTCATGTCATGTAGCCTGGTAAATTCAGACTAAGGATAGAGTAAATGGTAGAAGTAGCTGCATCTCTCAAGTATTTCATCATGAATAAATAAAGCCAAATTTTCACTTAGTAGGTGGTAGTTAAGGGATCTTCTTTCATGTGCAGGCTAAGATTTGGGTGAGAACCACTGACACCCATCCAGTTTGTCACAAAACACTTTAGAAATGAAATGACCTGTTAAGAGTGTGGTTTTGAGTATGGGAAAAGAGAGTTCAATGGCATGATTGAAGTTTCTTAGATATAGAAAATGATTAATGGAAGAGACAGGGCCATTTAACTGTTGCTGGGTCCGATGAAGAGTTGTTTCTTTTGAGCTTAATCCATGTATTAGTGGTGGTGCCTTTTACAACCAAGGAGTAAGATTAAGACTCTCTCACTTTTTCATTCTCTCCTTTCTTTTTCCGGCCTTTCCCCTAAAGGCGTTCATCATAGCTGAAGCTCAGGGTATTATAAAGTTTGGAAAAATTGGATAACATGCTGCAAACTTTCAGCCAGTTGGAACAACCAGGAATGACTTTCATATATTTTCTCCATTGGTTTACAGGAAGATTGTTAGAAAGTAAGGAAGACCATGGAGATAACTGAATTATGGGTATGGGTATTTATGCATTTAAAAACTTTGTATGTCTAAGCACAGTTAACTTTAAAATTAGCTTTTTACATTAAGATTCTTATTTCTTCATTCTCACCTTCTTTCCTGATTCTTACCATAGTGAGCAACTAAATTTGGGAGAGGGAAGGGTGGGCCCAGGAAGGGGACAAATCCTGCAGTCAAGTAGAAAAGATCATCAGAAACTTCCTGTCCATTTAGTACAATCTTGCTTGTCTTTCAGAGCCCAATTTAAAGCACAGGTCCTTCAGGAGACCCTCCCTCCATCCTCTTAAACTTGTTTTCCCCTGGTTGATGAAGTTTAGTATCTTGTCATTCCTCAGGCTCCATGAGCCTTGGAGCCTATGTAGCTCCTTCTTTGGTTTCAGGTCCAGCCAATACTGAGCAGTTGTGCTCAGCACTTCCGAATCTAATTCAGGTGTAATTAAGCCCCTGATTACTACTTAGATACTGACACTAAAGTGGGAATCACCATCATTTTGGCTTACAGATAAAGAAGTGAGTCTCAAATAGGAGACTGGTTCAAGTTCACACAATAATTGCCAAGCTAGCAGGGGAACCTAGGTTGTCTGACTTCAAAGCCATTTTTCTAGTTCTTGCATTGTACAGTGTGGAGAACACATTTCCATAGAAAGAAAGCCTCCCTCAAGTGAAACAGTGGAAGCGTTACTAGGGGGTAGTTAGTAGATCTGGGGAAGTGCTACCTCAAGCAATAGAATTCAACCAGAGCAAATTCACCATGCGTCCTTGATTTAATGGGGCTGAGAGCTCCAAGCTCCTGTTTTGTGGTCTCAACACTTACATTTTGCTGCCATCTACTGGTATTATTTGTGCCATTGTAATCCTCACAGCACTAACTGGTCACATGCATTATCCATCAATGACCTGAGTGTTGGTTAATTACTATTGAGCTTTTTACAAATACAGTAACATTTGTAAAGCGCTTTGTAAAGGGCAAAATGCTATACAAGTGTTAACTGTTATTAGAAGTAATTATTAGATGACCTAGTACGTAATCTCTAGGATACCCTACAATAAAACTAGAGAGTTAAAGATTGATCTCTGGTTAATTTTAGAAAAATATATCATATCTCAGTTGATAAAGCAACACACATATCAGAATTGCATGGATTTTAAGCCTTGGAATTTCTTTTTGCCAATGATATTTTAATATCCTTGGATTCAAATAAGTAATGACATAATAGGATATATAATTTAAAAACTCAAAATCTCTTAATCATTTGTTAGTCTTCTTATTGAAGATTTTTATTAGAAATTCCAAAACTTTAATGTTATACCTCATTCTAATTTTTTTTATTAAGCCATCATTGATATACACTCTTATGAAGGTTTCACAACCTCATTCTAATTTTTATTGTATCTTCTTTCTGAGACACCAACACTTAACTCCTTTTTATTTTCATTGGGCAGAAAAATGCAAACACTACCTCTGCCCAAGTTATTCTTGGTTTAGTGCTGGTAGGCATAATATCGAAGGAAAGATAGAATGAGGTAAATGTAAAGAAATGCTGAACCCACCTGGGGGAATCTTTAAGACTTAGGACAAAAAATAAACACATTAAAATGTAGAAGGTTTGGAAATCAGAAAGAAACATCAGTAATAAGGGCTTCAGATTACCTTCTTGGTGCATGTTGGAAAAATGAGACACAGTGGAGGAAACAGTTTAGGAGGTCAATGGCTGCATATTTGTATTGGTCCCACATATGTACGTGGTTACATTATATCTTCATATATTAATAGCAGTCAACTAGCTACCATTGCAGCAATGAATAGAATCCTTAGTGAATGGTAACCTTGCCCAAGAATAATTATGTGATGATAATATTTAGGTAAGTAGGAACATAAACTAGGATGTCTTCTTCTTAAGCCTTTGTGCCCTTATGCTTTGGGATAGTAAAAGGGGAGATCCAGCCAAGGGGATAGAGATATTTGTGTGCCCAGCATAGCCCAAAAAATAATACTCAGGTGCCTGCCTATTTATTGAGGAAGATGAACCCCAATACTTTAGTTAAGTTTGAGAAGAACCCTTTTTCCACATGAGCCTGACAGTCCTCTTTCTTAAATTAGTCTGGCAAGAAATAGAAATTGAATATTCTTGATTGGGTGTTAGATGGTATATTCACTGAATGTCACCACTCATAAATTTGTCTCCACCTTAACATAAGAATCAAGTCTTATTTTTTTTTCCTATGGATTGTCTCTCTACTTTAGCCTCTCTTGAAACTTCATTTGCTCAGTTTTTCATTCAATAAGTATCGGTTGAATGTCTGTCCCCATCAAGCAGTAAACTTGGTGCCACAGGTATTGTGGTGAGGAAAAAACAGAAAAGGCGCCCACCCTTCATAGATCTCACAGGCCAGTGGGGGCATGGGCGGTGACCAAGGTTAAGGCCCCGAGCAGGCCTCACCAGGATTCATCATTAAAACTGTTCGAGGTGAATTAATACCAGGTGCTCTGGGGATGACTAAGAGGCTCCCTTCAGGGCCCAAGAAGGCATCCCGAGGAAGAAACATTCAAAATATGACATGTCAGTAGCAGTTACAGTTAAAGGAGGAGCAAAGGTCAAATCCCATTTTAAGTATTAATCCCATTTTGTCTAACTGTCTGTTTGGTCTGTCATGTTTTTTTATAGGCGTCAATATAGAAAGAGAGCCAAAAAAACTTCCCTGTAGATTGTAAATGTAAATAAAGACTTCAAATCCATACTAATCAAGAGCAGCCTTTCCGCTTTCAGAAACGTGATTTGTCTCAAAAGCATGCCGTGTTCAGATGTTAGATGCCAATTTAACTGGTTGGAAATGCATTATACTAGTTGAGCTTGTTGTTAATTTCATGTAAGCTGTAACAGCAGTTCTGCCTGACTAATGATAGATTATTACTACAGTAGCTCCTTTACAAAGGATTTTCTATGCGAGGTTGTTAAGTGACAGAACCTAGAAAGGGGCGCTTGAGATGTTCCCTTCCTTAGGCACTCCACTGTGGCACCGCACAGGGCACTGAGAGGGGCTTGTGGCTTGGCAGGTGGGATGGAAGGCTGGGGATCAAAAACTCCTGTCGCCTGGCCACACTCAGTGGGAACTCTCTGCATGACCTTGAGCAAATCCTCTGGCCTCTCCATCCTGTTGGGAGTCTTATCAGATGTGGATGCTCCATTTGTACAGAGGTGTTGGGGGAAATCACTAATGTGTTCGTGAAGGAATGTGAAGGTTCTTGATGACAGCATACAAGTTTCAAAATATGTCACTGGAGAAATGCCCTGGAATGTCTTCTTAAGCAGCAGATATCATGAGGAGAGGCACACCACACCAGAGTAAGGGTGATCTCTGAAAAACTCAGCATTTCCCCAATTTGGAAAACAATAATGATGACAGAAACTTTTAAAAAGTAAAAAATTACCACAGAGCTGCATTGTCATATACTAACTAGAAGTTTTCTGGGAGAATAACTCTTTTCTTCCCATGCATATGTATATTCTCTCAGGAGAATTGGGACGCAAAGCCCAAGACTCCGATTGAATTGTTACATGGGGTAACTTTTGACAAGCCTGTCATTTGTCCATTTTCTCTTCTGACCCAGTCGTACTCCGCAAGATCAGAGGGCAGAAGAGGATTAATGTCATTGTGCACAGACAAATACACAGTTTCTTTAAGAAAGAAATTCCACTTGTTGAAGTTGACTAGGAAACATGAAGCACTTAGCACAGTACCTCACAGTCATGCCTGGCATTTACACCCTGCCCTGTTATTAGTCAGGTGTCCTCAGCTCACATCCCCAAATTTAGTCTTCCCTTTCCCTAAGCGGTTAATCATGGTGCCACCCTGTAGGGTGGTGGGGACAGTGGAGAGGTGACCACACCATTTCTCTCCATGCAGAGATAGAGCTGGTTTGCCTGGGCTTTTTCCTGCTCCCCCTCACCTCACCACTGGGGATACAGTGTGAGCATGGGCTGCTGACACCTGTTTTGATGTAAAGTTTTCCTTCGGAGGGGGAGGTGGGTATGGGTGTTGTGATTTGTGGGCCCACGTGTGCATCAGGCAGCAGGTTTAGAATGCAGCTATACCACCGCAGGTACAGAGCAGTGTCGCAAAGTGCGGTGACATGGATTTGTGTGATTTTAACTCGTCATCTTTTTTGGCATCCAAGCACGGGCTGTATACTAGGAGTTGGACTTGTTCTGTCCCTCATGAGCCACAGCAGCCAAATGGAGTCACGAGTGCATGTGGCGGCATCACTTCGGAAGCTCTCTCTGTACCTTGATGACAGTGGGAGCCAGAGCCGGACATTTCAGGAGGTAGGAGACACCAGCTACAGGTCTCTTCCCCAGGCTATCTTTTGTTTTCCTGTTGGTGCTTATATTCTACTTCTCATATTTTGGTAACCCTGAAGTTAAGTTCTTCCTCAACTGAAACAAGGATAAGGAGAAAATCTGAGTGGCACACAACCTATATTAGATCAGAAGGTTTTCAAATTGTGCAGCTATTTAAATCAACTTACGCTTAAATGTGGCATATAGGATAAGAGCCTTTAGTGAATACAAATACTTAAGTCAGAATCACTAGAAGGCACTTTCCAAGAAGAGCTGCATTTTCTGAAGGAAGGTTAAATAAAGATTTTTAGAATTATGCTCAAGCCAGATGTAACTCTAAAAGATGGCCAGGAATAAGTTTAAGAAACTGCAGATTGAAAAGGCATTTGATTTTTTGTCAGCTAGCATGAAAAATTATTGAGGAAATTCCCTTTACCACACTTAATGAAAAGGTTTTTCTGTTATGGTGCAAAAATATGCAGAACTGCTGTTCGTGGGACCCAGTCTATGTGTGTTGACCGTGTTTGGAAGCATGTGTCTGTGCTGTGCCCAGGTGAAGCTGAATGGCCTGTGCTCTTCTTTGGGAGAAGCCGGGAACGACCTTGTGGCCTGGCCAGATTCTCCCTCTCATTAGAGCAGATTCTATTTTATCCCAGCCTGCCCACAAGCTATTGACGAGTACATAATGGCAGCTGTGTTTCCCTGCTTGGCTCCTCTGCTCTCAGCAATAGGACTTGTTGAATCGGTGAATTTCTTTGGGGCACACAGGGTTGCAAGTTTTGTTCTAATACAGGCACCACATTTCCATTTTTAAAGCAGCACAGAGCACATTTAAAAGTACATTTCTTAAAGCAAATGAAGAAAACTTTGCAACCGAGGAGCAATTTAATTAATAAACAAAAGAAAGGTTTTTATAACTGATATATCTGCTTTGATGTTTTGAGTTATAAGGCCTTGACCAAGCAGTTTTATTTTTTCTATTCTCTGGTATTTCATTATCCAGTTTCTACCTTAGAAACTGCTTCTTTTTCATGCTGCAATAACCAGTGGTAGGTGTTGAACATTTCTGCTTTATCTTAACGGCCTCTTTGCAAGGGAGGGTTTCATCATGAAAATTCAAGATAGCAGGGAGGGGGTGATTAACTTTGATTTGCAAAAATTGAAGCTCAAATAGATTGACAGTTCACTGGCTGAGTAACTTTTGGCCAAGTCATTTTAGGATATGCACCTGAGTATTCTGTCTCTACTCTCAACATTCTTTTTTATTTATAATTTGTTCATTTATTCATGTATTCTTTTACCTATTAAAATATCACCTGAGTGCTATGAAGCAAGTAGTATTATCTCTATTTTACACAATTTAAAACCCACATTTCTGGTCTACAACGTTCCACTGCCTCTAGTAGGGAATTTTCATGTAGCTGTGTTTCATTTAAATTTCCTCTCCAGCTTGGCCTTGATCAGTGTGTGTGGTGACTGGGAGCATTCACTAGTTACAGTCTGCTTCCGCTGTTGATAGGGGCTGTGGTGTGACATGAGGTGGTGAGGGAACTTTCCAAGTTAGATTCTGAAGACCTGGGTTTGAATCTCACCTCTGTCACTTGGCAGCTGTGTGTAATTGAACCTCAATGACCATATCTGTAACACAGAAAAACAACACCTCATTATCACATTGCTATGAAATATAACAGAAGTTAGGCAGCAAAACTGCCCCGTGTGGTAGGCGCCGGGAGAAGCCTGATTCTGCGTCAACTAAGCTGTACTCTTTTATTTTCCCTCCTGAAGAAACATTTTTCTGCTGTCTTTTCTCCCCAGGTCCTTGCCTATACCCTGAGCTGTGTATGTACATCAGCATTCAGTGCTGGCATTATTGAGGCTGCAGAGGCTGAAGACATTATGAACAAGCTTCGCCTGTTAGTTGAGAACCACCAGCAGGTCAGAATGTGTGCCCTGATTCTTTCTCTGTGGGTCTTGTGCTGCCGTGAAGTCCTAGTTTTAGCTTACTCTAATTAGATTCTAATGGGATATGTTTTGTGCCCAGAACTGGGGAGCTTCTAAGTCTTCTGCCACAGACATCTTTTCCTCTCCTTTTTATCATCTTTTGTAGGTATTTCTTTCTCTTTGAGAGTGTGTGATAGGCTTTTCTCTTTCTCCAGCTATTGCTCTGTATTTATAAAATCTGAAAACATGTGACTAGGGAGTTCAAGTTAGGTAAGGCTAGAAGTAAAAATTTGCAAAGATAAGAAGATGTAGAGGACTCTGATACTGGCAAACCTCAGCAAATTCAAGGCAAAGAATCTCTGCTCTTGACTGAATATGTAAAGGGCAGTTAAATACCTGTAAATTAGGTTAAGTACTCTTAAAATGTTCCCTCTGAAATATTCAGCTTTAAAAAGGAAGGAGCTTTTGATATACACTACAAATGGAAGAATCTTGAGGACATTATGCCAAGCAGAATAGGCTGATCACAAAAAGACAAACACTGTATGATTCTCCTTAATGCAGTTCCTAGAGTAGTCAAAGGCATAAAGACAGAAAGTAGAATGATGTTCGACAGGCTTGGGGAGGGGAGAAGGGAGAGTTACTGTTTAATGAGGATGGAGTTCCAGTTTGGAAAGATGAAAAACATCTGAAGAGAGATGGTGCTGATGGCTGCACAATATGCATATACTTAACACCACTGAACTGTATGCTGAAAATGGTTAAGATGGCAAATTATATATATATTTTACCACAGTAAAAATTTTGAAAAAAAAAATGTTCCCTCAGATAACAGATGCTATAACATTTCCCCAATGAATTTTTTTTTTATATGTCTCCAAAGCCTTAATATTGGCCACAGTGGGTTACCTCAGGATTCACTGGGTATGGGCTTAAATCATATTGTACTGTTACTAGTTGATGGTTGTATACCTGTTCACTTATATTCTTAATAGGTTTTGCAACACCAAAATGTAGAAGTTTGCATATGCTGTGTTCATGTGGGGACATTTTCTCTTGTTTGGGAGTTGACTAAGTTTGTGTGATCTATCTTGGTATTTTTATCTGACCCCCTTCTGAGAATTTGGATCATTTGAGCCAAGTCTCTCAATAGTCCAGTATTATTTTCTTAAAATAAGCAACTCATTGGACCTGAATTCCTTGCAATTAGATTATAGTTTCTGTTGTAAACCAAAGACTTGATTTTAAAAATCTGCAAATCTCTGGTCTTCAGATGGCAAAAGAACATGTCAGTAGTAAAGGGGGTTTGCTGTATATAAACATTCCTGATCTGTGCTGTTCTTTTTTCTGACCCTATGTTTTTGTTTATTTATAACAGACATCGGGTTTTTCCCTGGCATTAGGAAACATAGTTCACGGTTTGTCTGTGTGTGGACATGGAAAAGCTGAAGACTTGGGCAACAGACTGCTTCCTGCTTGGATCAGAATTGTCCTAGCACAGGTAGACGTCACCTCCTATGTGTTATTTTATATTTTCACGAAGGAAAAAAGAGCTACTTTATTGGGCCATTTATAGGTGGACCTATTGGACCATTTATAGGTGCTGCTAAGCTATATAGCATAGCAATAATAAAAAGGTAATTTCAAATAAAAGAGACACATGTACTTTTAACCCCTTATAAATGATACATCCTGTCATCCATTATAGGTTTTTTTTTAATTGGCTATTTTGTCAGTGTTTTAATTTTAACACAACATTGTGGTTCTGAAAAATAAAAAACAAGAAGCTATGTATGATCTAACGATGTTAACCTGTTACTTATTCAAGTCTGCTGCTTTTTTGGTTCAGTGATACAGGTTATGTTAACCCTAGACATTTAGTGCCATTTCGACTGTTTATTTCTCTATGATACAGTAGGTTTTATAGAATTCAGACGCAAGGACTGTTTTGTTTCCCTCTTGACATGTGGTGGTGCTTTGTTTTTAGGGTACTCCCACGATGGTTTGTCTGGCAGCTCTGCATGGCATGGTGGCCTTGGTAGGCTCTGAAGGGGATGTATTGCAGGTAAAAAAAAAAAAAAGAAAAGGTGGGTGGGTGGGTGGAATAATCTAAATATGTACATAGCTACAGCAAGGGGAAAATACTCAGTATGTCAGTATGCTAAGGACAGAAGAATATATACTCATGGTAATGGTTATACTGGGCCTTTCAATGCTTGATATATGGAAAATTGCTCTTGGTCAAGAATCCTCTCTATACAGATTTGTTCTTTATTTTATTTGGTTTGTAGTAATTAAACCTAGTCACCTTATATAGCTTCCACAGAGTTCCCTGCGCAAGGAAGATGATTGACCTGAAAAACCTCATGTTGGGATGGGTATTTCTCCTTTTTCTTTCAGCTGAAGTCAGAAGCCTTCCAGACCTCTCAGTTTCAAGGCAGACTGAATGAAGTCATAAGAACTTTAACTCAGGTGAGAGGAGGCATTTAAAATCCTTGGGTGGGAAAATAGATATTCCCCTTTGTTGTCTTTTTTTCATGATACAAAAAGTCTTAGTTGAAAAATCAGGAAATCACTAGTTTTTCATGATTAGTTCAAGGGCCTTGAGAGTGCCTGTGACCCTGCATTCCCTGACAGCTTGCACTGCCTCTGCAGAAAAAGAAAGTTGGCATTTCTAAGTTAGCTTAAGTTGGCATTGGTTTTTCCCTTAAAAATTTAAACCTGACCCTCCAAGGAATGTCAGACCCTCAGGACAAGGAGAAATGGAAGGTGATCAAAGGGCAGGGCAGATACCTATGCAGAATGGTCAAGAGGCGCTAGTTCAGATAGCACTGATGTAAGTATTTGGGTAAATCATTGTCAGCATTATTCGTGGCTAGAGAATAAACATATTCATCTGCTAGGAAATGACTTGTATTTTATGATTTTTTTCCTTAAAAAATTATTGTGCTTATTGCATAAAATTTGCATGTACTGAGTGAAAGAAACTGGAAAAAATATCCCCGATGGTCGTCCCAACCCTAAAGCAACTGCTTTGGTTACATTTCTTTTTAAGCCTTCTTATTCTCTGCATAATTGGTATTCTTGTTATATATAGAACTTTGCATCCTAGTCAGTCAGCTAGCATGCTTGTCTTCATTCTGGTAAAAATACAGCTGGTTATACTACCTACTTTATAAAGGAGTTTTAGTGATTCTTGCTTTTAAAAGCAAACATAAACCTGTACAGAAGAAACACTCTTTTGCATGAATATGAATATTCTCAAAGAAGGAATTCTGCTAAACTTGAGCTTGAAGAAAGTTGGAAGAAAATCTAGAAATGAAAACTATATATTAAAAATGCTTATTATGAATGATAAAGCAGTAATAGAACATTCTTTAAAGAAGAAAACAAAATATCTCCTTTTTTTGTGGCATTTCAGTCTTAAGTAACTGTCGCCTCTTTACTTTGAGTTTTCTTTACACATTTTTTTGAAAATTCCTTTGAAGCTAATCTGTGAAACCTGAGACAACCACTAGTACCTTCTGTCATGATTGACTCGTTCATTCATTCATTCATTCATTCATTCATTCATTCATTCAGCAACACTTGATTACCTATGTGTCCCAGGAGTGTGATAGTATGTCTTGTCATAGAACTTCTCATTACATGTCAAACCACCACCACCTCATCAAAGATAGTGACTTTCTGTGAGTTTGGATTGAATGGAGTTTGGCTCTTGTCTGATCATTGAACTGTTACATTTTCATCCATAGGTCATCGGTGTGTCAGGGGTGATTGGTCTCCAGTCAAATGCTCTCTGGCTTCTAGGGCACCTTCATCTGTCTACACTATCCTCAAATCAAAGCAGAACCTCTGGTAAGACTGGAGGCACAGAACACTGGGGCTGGAAGCAGGGGTTGCTGACTGGGGGCTACGTACTTTGTTAAGAGTGTTCATCGTCACAACAACCCTAAGCAGCGGGTATTACCACCCCATTTTACATCAGAGGAAAATGGGCTACGGACAGGTTTCCTGACTTGCTAGGGGTCACATGGCAGTAATTGGTGGACCTGAGGTCTGCACTCAGGTCTGTTGGCCTCTAAGGCCCAGTGTTCTTCTCACTATTCCTCTCTGTCCCCTTAGAGAACAGGTTAGACATTGAGTCTAATCCCATATATTACAAATGAAGAACCTAAGGCTCAGAAAGATTACATGACACACATACAGAGTTAGTTTAGTACCAAACCCAGAAACTAGCAACCAGGTCCTTGAAGCTTGAAACAGAATTCTTTTATTTTACTAGATATAATCATAGTTTGTATAATATTCATATTTCATTAAAAGTCTCTTCATATATCAAAAGGCTGGAGTTCTTCTGGCCCCTGCTTTGAAAACAATGGAGTAAGTACATTTAAAGAATTTTGACCCACTGGCTCTCTTGGACCCAGGCCAGAGAGGGGTACCAAAGATTCCTCATTAAAACCTAGTTTTACATATTCCCTGGCAGAGAGTCTACAGACAGCATTACCATGAACACAGGTCACTGTAATTACTGTTTCCCTCACTTTCAGTCACTGCTTAGCAAGAGAAATAGGACATTGTTCTGTAACATTCCCAACATATTGAACTTTAGACAGCTAGAAGCTGTCATATTAAAATGGAAAAAAGAAAAATGTAGACTTAGTCATATTGGAAGCCTTTGGTAATGCTAGTTTTGAAGGGCAGTGCTCTCACAATGACCTGGTAAGATACCATGTTTATGTCAGGCTTTTGCTTCTGTGCATAGTATTTTAATTGTTATTAATACTGTGGGGCACACAGTTTGGCCTACATATACTCAAGCCAGGTCAAGAGGAATCATCTTATGCCCAGATTCTTTGGAACAAAATGATTGTATGTCTGGAAAAGTACAGCTAGTTTCTGATGGAATTTTCCAGTTGAGCCATTTACGACAGTAAAAACCATCTCCTGAAACAATTGTGGGGGACTGGGAAGAAAAGAATTTAGGAAACTCCCAGGACTCAACTAGCATAAATGTCACTGCCTCACTGTTCCAGGTCAGCAGCCACATCTGGTTATTTGTCCATGTTGGTCACTCAGAGGTCCCCACATTATGTAGTAAGAGCCTAGCGGCTGTAACACTGATCATTGTATTTACATAGCTCGTGTATCTGATTCAGGATGTCCTGAAGTAGGCCCTAGCATGGTGGTCTCAGCCTAGAAGCCCAGAAGACTCCTTGCAGACACTGAGGGTCCCTGGATTGGGGCTCGTTGATGTGACAATGTGGAAAGGATTTTTTTTAACCACTTCACTTAAGTTTTCATCCCCTGTGATTTTTTTCCACCTCTACTAGGTTTGCCACCGTTTTAGATTTGCTTGCATAGCCTAAGTGATTACTTCAAGGCTGGTCACTTAATCTAATGGGATTAGTTGAAAACCACAGAGTATTGTGCTGAGATTAATAGCATAAACATCTCTGCTTTGTCGCTGGGTTGATATGGCAGCATGAGATCATTATCTTTCCTTCATTAGTCCTGCCAAGTTCACTGGTTAATTTGATCATTTTCTGTCTCCACAGTTCCTACTGACTATAGCTATTTGCCTGAAAGCAGTTTTATTAGAGCAGCCATTGACTTCTTCATTACAGGAGGAAAAAAAGGCAAGTGAGCACATTTCTTGAATTTTATTATTCTTTCTACACATTAAGGTTGTGTGCCCAAGGCTTGCTTCTGTAGAATTAAACAATAACAAGTTTGAAGGGGTGAATATTTTCTTCTGTTAGACCGTCTTTGCAATAGAGATGACCAGGACGCCAAGTACAGTAAGTGGTATGTAAATATACAAACTCTTCACGCTCTTGGAATCACCATACCTGACCTTGGAGGGCTCTGTGAAGACATAACCGTCCATGCGGCCACTTCAGATGTATAAGCACACATGACTTTTCCTGTCAATTTCAAGTGAGTGTGACCTACAAGGAGAAAACATGCCTGGGGGTAATTCGTATGCCAGAACCTGACTTGGAAGTAGGTCTTCTCCCTGAACCTTGTATGATCACTCCAAGTTGTTGGAATCACGGTTCTAGTTCATTTTAGTTTGTGTTCTCTTTCTCTGCAAGCATTTGTTTCTTTGTGATTCCTTGCTGCTGCCTCCCATGTTAGAGCACAAACAACTGAACATAGAGATTGTCTTCTGTTTTTAACTGGAGCCAGAATAATACCATCTAAGTTACTTAAAAAATGCTCTTTAATGATATACACATCTAGTATTCAGTGCTGTGAGGAGCCACTGAACACATTATGGCTTAGGAGCCAGTTTCATATAATATTCCTTCATTGATATTTGCTAATTTTGTTCTTCTTTGGGCTGGTTAAGTCAGTGTAGGCAAAACCAGTGCCTGTATTACAACGAGACCATCCCCATTTTAGAAAGAAAAAGTTTTCAAAATTAAAATGAGGAAATTTGGAGGAAGCAAATTCAGTTAATGGAAGTGATAGAATAAAATCTTACCATTGAAAGGAGTGTTAAAGGTATGTCATTTTCCACTGGGCACAGTAATCCTGGAGCTTCTAGATCATAAAGTACTCTAGTATCTTGAAGATGAAAGCTTTTAGTTTCTGAAGTTTTACAAACTGTGATATGATGCTAGGGTCATGAGTTGGCGTGATTTGCTTTTACATAGCCTCAATAAATATTGATGTATGGTTATATCATTGTTGTATATGATATATTTATATATAAACATGCCATATATTACAATATAGTACACAATGTGGAGTAATTGTTTGGATTGCCATAAATGAAGTCTGTTTAAAATATGTATTATAATAGATATGGCTTCATTCGGAAGAAATTTTGTTCTTACTAAAGGAGTATCTGAAATTTCCATGGCCAGAATAATTCCAGAAATATTTTTGCTCTATTTTTTTTGTTAGTTTGCTCTCTGATATTTTATAAAATTTTTAAATGATGACAATGTGAGATATTTATATGAAAAATAAAATTAAAAATCTTAAAATCTAGTGGAGGACTCTTTTTCTTTTTGAGTAAAATGTCATTTTTGGCTCCCCAGATCTATATTTCTTGGCAGAAGTGAATTGTTTCTGAATTTGGAGGGAAATTCTTGATCAAATGTAATATTTTCATGACTATGCAGTCATGGCATAACAGGGAATGTTCTGCCCTACAACTGAAAAGTCAGGTGGAACTGGCATCAGTGATGTTGTGTGCAATCTTGCTAAAAAAAGTTATGTTGCAGTAGATAAATGAACTATTAAAGAAAGCCATATTACCAATCAGATTTTTGCCATTTTCAGGTTGTGGGAGAGGTCTGCCTATTGTCAGGTTTGTTGACTAGACTCAGAGTAAAATCTATTCAGCCTTTACACATTACTAATTATGACCCCAAAGGAGTGGGGGCCGTGGGAGGCTGACCTCCGCCTCGGAAGCCCATTTACAAAAACAAAACCAGACCCTGCTCTATGGGTCTAAATGGGATGGCCAAACGCGGAGGTGTGCATGCCAACGAGTATTTTCTTCTTCAATATGCCCAGCTCATTTGAATTTTAATAACTCCCTTCTGCAGCAGCTTTTGAGTTTAAATGTCTGGATGTCACTCACCAGAACCCATTGGGGCTGCTGATAGGAAGAACGACAACTTTGGTGAGCTCTTTTGAGGAAGAAGTGGCTTTTGAGAATAAAAATCACGCTGGGCATAGGCAGAAGAAAGAAAACTTTAGGGGTAGCCTGGTTTCATTGCGTCTATATGCTACGTAATAACTCATTAGAGGAAGAAAAATATGTTGAGTTATCCCTGATCCACACTTACGCCAGCCTGAGATTGGACATCATGATCTCAACTTGAGCCAATCAGATCTGAGATGGTGAATATATTAATCTGCTTTCTAATGCTTAAGGCTTTTCTCAGTTGAATGCTCATGTGAAAGAGCACACAAGGTGTTTACGCTTTTATACGGGCCTGTGTTTCAAAACCGTACCATATAAATGAGATTCCTTCTAGTTTTTAAAGGCTTCCATTAATAGTTTTGAATATAACTGGGTTTTGCTATAATTCGTAGCATTCTTCTTCCCTGTTAGTACTAGCCTTCTTCTAGCAGGCGTATTATTCCTTAACCTTTTTATTGTCTTTATCTATTCCTGTGTATATTTTTTTTACTATGCTAGGCTTAAAATTTGTTCATAATATAATTCCTTCTATCATGGAATTATTTTTTCCCCTTAAGTGCTCAATTTTGACTAGGTTTTGCTTCTTTTCTATTCATTTATCCATTTTCCTGACTTCTGATCCTTAATTTTTTCCTCAACCTTATAGCATATTCAGATTTCAAGATTGTATCTACTTCTTTTATAAACCATTTAAAATGCACTAAGTACTTAATAAAAGTAATAATTTCTTTTTGGTATTAATGTGAGGTATTTTTACCTAATAATTTAAGATTATTTTTCTTACTGTTCTGTTTCAGGGAATGTGACTTTCTAAACTTGTATTGTTCTGTATGCTTTAAAATTCACACTAAGAAGTATAATTTGAGGAAACTGTATTTAAACCCTTGTAATAACGTCATTACAAATGGTATTTCCTTCTTGATATGAATTCATTGGTCAGTGATGTGTATGTGTAAGTATTGGGCTTAATATGCATAAGCCATAGGTAGGTATATTCTCAAATGACCATTTTTGGACTGTTAACATGAGATAATAACTGTTGACAAGTTTAGCCAAAGGAGCAGAATTAGTGAATTCTACATATAGAATAAACATGAAAAAGCTGTCCTGTTTTTCTGATGAAATTATGTTACCAAGATTGTGTTAAAGTATTTTATTTAGTAATAGTGTACTTATGTAATTATTTTAACGAATATGATTAGAAATGAATACATTTGTATAACACTAAGTTCAAAAATGATATAGAGAAAAAAAACAGCTCCCTGTACTCTCACTGCATGGTAGTTAGCCACAATAGATATTCTGATATTCATCCTCCTAGGTATGTGTGTGCGTGATGTTGTATTGAGTCATACAATTTATATTATTTTGTAGTCCAGTTTTTAAAAATTAACACTTCTTTGTGTAAATAGACAAAATCACCACCCATCTCCTCCAAAAGAGGCTTGGGGGAAAGTATGAAAAGAATTCCTGCATCATTTTCCTAGACATGTGTTAATAGGATATATTTTGGGAGTGTTTAATTTCTATTTTTTGGTATAAATGAAAATATTTGAAAGGAAAAAAGTCACCAATTATCCCATGATTCTCTAACAGCTATTATCATTTTTGAATTTTACTTTTTAATTCATTGCTTTTACGCTTATACAAGTTTTACATGTTCCCAAGCATGCATATACTTTTTATCTTTTAACTTAGTATTATAAATATGCCCTTATTCTCCATAGTTACAATTTTTACACATAAAATATTCCATCACGGTGAATCATAATTAATAACTTCCCTGTTGGTTATTTAAAATTTTTCTAATATCTTTATGTAGCTTCCTCTCTTCTGCATATAGCTTTCCTTAGGATAAATTCTCAACAATTTACTAATAGGCAAGAGTCTGAAGATTTGGTGACTACAGGGGTAGCATGGCCTCATTCAAAAGGATTGCTCTTCAAAAGGATTGTACCAGATTTCAGTGTCTCTGTGCTGTGTGAATATGCAAAGCGGTGCGTGATAGCTGTTCCACGCATGGGAGTCAGTCCCTCCTACTTCCTTGCTGTGTAACTTCAGGCAAGCCACTTACATCTCTAAGCCATAACTGTTTCCTGTAAAGTGAAGATATAATGGAATCTTCTTTATAGAGTTTTGTAAGGATTATGAGCTTATGGGTCACTTTATGTAACAGTGCTTACAAAAACCTGACAGGTATAAAGTGATACCTTAAGATTGCTTTAATTTGCATTTAATTGCCAGAAGGAATGAACATTTTTGCATGTATTTACTATTTGAAAAGGTTTTTTTTGTGAAACTTTGGACAGTTTCTTTTAAAAATTTTACCTCTTTTCTTTTTATTTTGAAATAACTTAAAAATTACAAAAAGGAGAAAACAGCCATAGAACTCCTGTATTGCTTTCATCCAGAGACCCTATTTAAGTTTCACTGTCAGTGCAAATGCTGTCTTTAGCAGAAAAAGAATTTAATCCAGAATTTCACACAGTACTTTTTTGTCACATCTCTTCAGACGCCTTCAATCTGGTGCAGTTCCTCAGTCATTCTTGTCTTTCATGGCTTCAACATGTTTTTCTTTTTTTTTGAGAGGGCATCTCTCATATTTATTGATCAAATGGTTGTTAACAACAATAAAATTCTGTATAGGGGACTCAATGCTCAATGTACAATCATTAATCCACCCCAAGCCTAATTCTCGTCAGTCTCCAATCTTCTGAAGCATAACGAACAAGTTCTTACATGGTGAACAAGTTCTTACAT